AAGGGATACATTTTTTTTTCTGTAGTCTATTTTAGCGTTTTAGTAGGGGAACCCTCCCCAAAAAAGAAACGGTAAAAAGGGCACCTAGCTGGGGGACCTACATAAGCTTGAGCCAAGCCACAGCAGCCGGGGGAGCCTCCACCTGGGCAGGGCTTCGCGCGTCTCGTGGGCGAGAATCGCCAGGTGCACAAATGTTTTGAGCCTCATGGGCCTCTAAAAGCGCTGAAAATTAGAAGCGTTTAAAAGCCCTGAAAATTCAGGGCCATTTAAAAGCCCTGACAAAACCCCTGTATTGGACGGATTCAGTGGTTTTTCGCGTGGGCCTTCTTGTGTGTGTGTGTGTGTCGATCGCTTCCCCGGCCTTGGGTGCCAGTTGTGCTGGCGCGGCCTGGCCTGCACGTTCGTGGCGCGGGTGACATACATAACATGCATTGGCATGAGTGACCAGGAGTCGACTACTGCAAAGGAGTGGTGGGAGTTTGAGTCTGTAACATCTGGTAGGAACCCTTGGTTTCGATTTCTGCTCTCGCGCTGCCTTAACCAGTAACTCAAGGCCAAGGCCACCAATGAGAAGATTCCATCGCACTGCTGACATCGCAAGCTTGTAACATGTAGATAAGACAGTTCTTTCGAGGGCCACGCGCACCACCGGACGCCCTGGCAACGGCTTGGTCTGCGTTGCTGTGGCTGCCTCGGGACAAGCAGCTCAAACAGAACTTTAAGCCTGGCCACTGACGAACCGAAGCCCTAAATGCCGCAAGTAGGGTGCATGTAAGCAGCGCAACATGTCCTTGTGCCGCGCCATGATGTCTGATTGGCGTTTGTTCAACGACAATAGATCCTCTTCCCGCACGGCATCTTTGGCAAAGCTGAGCACGTGGCAGGCTTTGGCACTCCACGGGCAGGAGAGGTTTGGTCAATGTCGGACAGGAGGGTTTTGACCTTCCTTTGCTGGTGGCAATGGGGCAGGCAAGCACTTGGCATGCACTTGGCAACGCTTGTGCCATCCAAATGTGTGGCTTGCAGCTAGGTTGCTTGTCACCACGTTCCAGCCTCAGCGCCCAAACCAAACCTGTCACAGCCCAACAACATCTACACTTACACTCTCTTCAGCACCTCAACAGCCCAACAAGCAGGCAAAGCGACAAACATGGTTCGCTATGGGTGTGTCTTCTTGTTTTGGGGTACCCTTCTCGTGGGCTGGCTTTAAAGGGGAGCCAAAAGCACACCGCCATTTGTGTTTGATTCTTCTTTTTTTTGGCGGGGGGTCATGGGGGGTCCCCTAGAAAAAAACCGCGCCCCTATCATCGGGACCCTCCCGCCAAGCAATGCGTCACGCCCTGCAAGCCAGGAGCTTTTGGCGCCGGATCTCATGCTGCCGATCGGCCTACGGGCGTGCTCGGAAAACGCGGATGGCGGCGAAATCCCAAACCCTGCAGCACCTAAAAGACCCTTTCGGACGCTTCAACCTGTAAATACCAACAATGAATGCAACAATGGTTTCCAGGTGGTGCGAACGGATTTGTCCATCCACAGTATTGCATGAGATAAGTCACTACCAAGGTAAATGCAGGTACGCCAGGTGGAAAGCATGACATTCTGATTGTGAGACAAGTCACGCTCCCAATTAAGCATGAATGCCGAAAGTGGTGTGGCTCCTCATGGTGGGTTTCCATTTGGTCCCCCTATTCAACAACAAAAAGGCAAATATGACCAGGTGCAACGATCCCTCGCTCCAACAGTGGCGTCTCAACATGGTGGGCTTCCATTTGGTCCCCCTGTTCAACAAACAACGGCAAATAGGACCAGGTACAACGATCCCTCGCTCCAACGGTGGCGTCTCAACATGTGGGTTTTCATTTGGTCCCCCTGTTCAACAAAAAATGCAAATAGGACCAGGTACAGCGATCCCTCGCTCCAACAGTGGCATCTCAATATGGTGGGTTTCCATTTGGTCCCCCTGTTCAACAACAAAAAAAAGCAAATAGAACCAGGTGCAACGATCTCTCGCTCCAACAGTGGCGTCTCAATATGGTGGGTTTCCATTTCGCCTCCCTGCTCAACCAACAAAAGCAAATAGGACCAGGTGCAACGATCCCTCGCTCCAACAGTGGCGTCTCAATATGGGTGGTTTCCATTTGGCCTCCCTGCTCAACCAAGAAAAGGCAAATAGGACCAGGTGCAACGGTCTCTCGCTCCAACAGTGGCGTCTCCATATGGTTGGTTTCCATTTGGCCTCCCTGCTCAACAAAAACAATGCAAATAGGACCAGGTACAGCGATCCCTCGCTCCAACAGTGGCATCTCAATATGGTGGGTTTCCATTTGGTCCCCCTGTTCAACAACAAAAAAAAGCAAATAGAACCAGGTGCAACGATCTCTCGCTCCAACAGTGGCGTCTCAATATGGTGGGTTTCCATTTCGCCTCCCTGCTCAACCAACAAAAGCAAATAGGACCAGGTGCAACGATCCCTCGCTCCAACAGTGGCGTCTCAATATGGGTGGTTTCCATTTGGCCTCCCTGCTCAACCAAGAAAAGGCAAATAGGACCAGGTGCAACGGTCTCTCGCTCCAACAGTGGCGTCTCCATATGGTTGGTTTCCATTTGGCCTCCCTGCTCAACCAAAAAAAAGGCAAGTAGGACCAGGACCAGGTACAACGAGCTCTCGCTCCAAGTCTCAATATGGTGGGTTTCCATTTGGTCCCCCTGTTCAACAAAAACAAGGCAAATAGGACCAGGTGCAACGATCTCTCGCTCCAACAGTGGCGTCTCAATATGGTGGGTTTCCATTTGGTCCCCCTGTTCAACAAAAAAATGCAAATAGGACCATGTGCAACGATCTCTCGCTCCAACAGTGGCGTCTCAATATGGTGAGTTTCCATTTGGCCTCCCTGCTCAACCAAAAAAAAAGCAAGTAGGACCAGGTACAACGATCTCTCGCTCCAACAGTGGCGTCTCAATATGGTGGGTTTCCATTCGGTCCCCCTGTTCAACAAAAACAAGGCAAATAGGACCAGGTGCAACGATCTCTCGCTCCAACAGTGGCGTCTCAATATGGTGGGGTCCCCCTGTTCGACAAAAAAAGATGGCAAATAGGACCAGGTGCAACGATCTCTCGCTCCAACAGTGGCGTCTCAATATGGTGGGTTTTCATTTGGTCCCCCTGTTCAACAAAAAAAGGCAAATAGGACCAGGTGCAACGATCTCCCAACAGTGGCGTCTCAATATGGTGGGTTTCCATTTGGTCCCCCTGTTCAACAAAAAAAAAGGCAAATAGGACCAGGTGCAACGATCTCTCGCTCCAACAGTGGCGTCTCAATATGGTGGGTTTCCATTTGGTCCCCCTGTTCAACAACAAAAAAAAGCAAATAGAACCAGGTGCAATGATCCCTCGCTCCAACAGAGGCGTCTCAATATGGTGGGTTTCCATTTCGCCTCCCTGCTCAACCAACAAAAGCAAATAGGACCAGGTGCAACGATCCCTCGCTCCAACAGTGGCGTCTCAATATGGGTGGTTTCCATTTGGCCTCCCTGCTCAACCAAGAAAAGGCAAATAGGACCAGGTGCAACGGTCTCTCGCTCCAACAGTGGCGTCTCCATATGGTTGGTTTCCATTTGGCCTCCCTGCTCAACAAAAACAATGCAAATAGGACCAGGTGCAACGATCTCTCGCTCCAACAGTGGCGATTCTCAATATGGTGGGTTTCCATTAGGTCCCCCTGTTCAACAAAAACAATGCAAATAGGACCAGGTGCAACGATCTCTCGCTCCAACAGTGGCGTCTCTATATGGTGGGTTTCCATTTGGCCTCTCTGCTTAATCAAAAAACAGCAAAGAACAAGAGAAAAGGCAAAAAGCGCCGATCTGATCCCCGTGGTCCCACCTGCTTGAGTCTCTCCTGTGCAACTTCCAGAGCCGCTGCGGCCGCTGCGTCCCGCTGCGTGAAGGCCTGAGCTTCGCTTCGCTGCGATAGGCGGGGAATGAGGTTCGCCTGTTGGGACTGGTACGAAACATCGGCCCGATGGGGAAACAACATGTATTTTTTCAAAAAGCAACACATCAACTCGATGTCAAGTCATTTTTCGGGTTTCTTCTTTTCAAAACAGGTTAGATCCGGTCTCAGTAGGGAATGACCTTCCGCGTGTTGGGAATGAACCCAGGCTTTGGACAGTTGAATGGCTTATAAATGTTTATAAGGGTCATTCCAGTTCTCCTTGCCTGCCTATCGCACCGGCAAGTTTATTCCTGGCCGCATACATTGGCTGATGCAAGGCGGCTGTACCTACGCGTGTTGGGAATGAAGCCACCGCTCAAAGGAAACCAACCGACCGACCGAGGCTTCGGTGTTTGCATGTTGCCGGCGAGATGGTTGCGCGCGCCTGCAAGCGCTCCGCATCCAGCTTTGCGCGTGCCTGGCGATCAGGCATTGCCTGCAAGCCTCCCAACCTCACCCAAGCCGATGTAGAGTGTTGGGGGCTGGTTGGGGGCCTCAATTCAAGATATGGCTGTGGGTCAAAAATGGGTACCCAGAATAGAAGCCTGGTAGATGGAACCAAGACTGTTGGGGGCCTCAATTCATCTCAATTCAAGATATCTGCAGGCTTCAAACAAGCAGGACGCGTAGCATGCCTTTTGTGCTTGATCGCAACTGGCTAACTGCAGGCTGCTCTGTACACTGAGGCAAGCAGCACGGCCGAATTAGGAACTCTGAAGCAGAGTGGCTCACAGCTGTGGTCGCCGCAGCACCCGTTCAGCGAGAGATGGATATGTGTTCATTCACCTTGTTCACTTTGTTTCAAGAAAAGCACATAAACAATTCATGTTCTACACATACCCAAATCAAGATGCACGCCAGTCATGAGCTGGCCGTGAAGCCAAGGCGAGCCATCCCGCATTCGCCTTTAATGGCCGATTGAAATCGGACTGACTCAGCCCGTCTGAAAGAGTCTAGGGAGTAAAATGATTGATTTGGCGCGGAGGTAGCAGTCTGGGACTTTCTCTCAGCTGATTTTGATAATATCCTCGGCCCTTAAAGGGCAGCGAGTGCAGGGATCGTGGGCGTCAATGGCCTGCGACCGCAGGCATGTGCAAATTCTATAGACCCTTATTCAAGACGACGACTGGCAATTTTGCCCAAGGTATTTGGCTAAATTGGGCGACTTCCCCATTTCAATGATGCGTCGCACATGTCCAGGCGCAGTGGACGCCAACTTCCGCATCTCAGTTACACGAGCAAACCCAGCCACGGCCTGCCACTGAACGATGGACGCATGGTCATAGAGGAACGCCTAAGCTAGGAGGAGAGCATGGCAGCCTCCCAGCTACCAAGCCAGGTACACAGCTTCACTCGAATGGTCTGCCGGTTTGGTTCGGCCTCGCCGCTTCCAAGAAAGATGTTGTTGAAAGGAGCCCACGCACCACTGGCGATTGCGGAAGCACTTTCGGTCAAGCTCGGACACTCTCGGTCAACTTCCAACAAGTAACAGCATGATCTGAAGCGCCTGAATCCCAGGACCCCCCTGAATGCCCAGCCGGGTGCTGACTGCAAGTTGCCTTTATGTGGGTGAGGAAAAGGTATTGCCACCCACTGTACAAACGCAACCCACTGAAATCTGTACATGTCACGAAGCTCAACTGGGAAAATTCAATTTTGACATGGGGGGAACACAGAGCCGGGCGGCATGACAACCCCACTGCGCTGCAGTGTCCCTGCGCAGAACCATGGCAATGCCAGGGATCAGGCGACCCTTCTGGATGATCTCCTGCACATGGGGGCGTGTGTTTCTTGAAGGCCCCCCCCCCACATGTTGGTTGTTGCAACGCCAACTGCATGCAACGCCAACTGTATGTCAAAACAACGCCCCCTGCTTGGGGAGGTCTCAGCCATCCTTGGGGTTTGCTTGTAGCTTCCGTTCCCGCTCAGGGAGCCTATGGAGCAGTATCGTCACGGGTCACTGCTTTCCAAAGCGTTGGGAAGTCCTTTCGGCCACCCCATGCTGGAACAGGCGTTGACAATCCTAGCTATCCTCACGAAACTTCCTTTTCCGGAAGCAGGAATGCTGATCGACTGGCGTGCGTCGAGCAATGTGACACCTTTGTCTGGAAACGGTCCGTTGGAACAGCAGACCCGCCGCGCCCTTTTTTCCGCAGCGTGCGCTCCGTCACGCTTGCAAACGCAGTAGCCACGGCGTTCGTTCAGTCATGTCCACTTGCGCTTGCCCGGACTGCGCCACTCCGCAGGGGAACCTTGAAACTTGTTCCAAAATAGCAAAGCCCAGCCAACGTTTTGGTTTGCACCATTCCCAACACAGGCAGGGATAATCAAGCACCAAGGATGCAAGTACAGGTGCTGCACATCTCTCTGTGTACAAGGGAGTGGGGTCTGCAAACTTGTAACATGGTCATGGTCCCCCTGCCAGGAATCCTTGTCATTGCTATCTAAACTCTCTTTTCCTGATTCCATGCCCGTCCATATTTTCCAGCCCCACGTGAAATGCCTAACACCTTCCCATCGAGAAAGCTTGGACTCCCAGCAGTCTTTGTCAGAGAAAAACGAGGTTACTTGCGCAAACGTATTTGCCCCTGCCATCCATAGCATCCCGTAGCCCGTCCTCTTGGGTGAAGGTCTCTTCCTCCGCGCCTCGCTTGGCTTCTTCCAGGCGGTTTGCCAAGACCAGGGCCACCGCATCCTCGACGCCGGACAGTGTGGCACCTCGCTGGCTCCCAGCCGGCAAAAAGCTTGATTCTTGGTTGCTGTTGACCCCCTGCAAAAAGTTTACCTTTTTGGGGGTTTAGTGGAGAACGCCATGATCTTCCAAAAAAGTTAAAGTCTAAAGATCCAACCCAATAGCAGTCAAGGATTTCAGCTCCTCTTTCATGAGGCGCGTGAAGGGGCAAAGTATCTTGCGGTCAGAATCGTCTCACACAGAAAAGGCATCGACATCTGCGAGTGATTTGCACAGCTTCTTTCAAGTGCAACATGTGCAGGCTTCAGTGCCTGCCCACTGAAAGACTGAGATTCGTTGAACAACATAGTGGAATGTGATTGTGCAAATGTGGGCAACCTGCGAATCACAGGCGGCTACACACACACACAAACACGTTCAGCCCGTCACTTGTCAAAAGAGGGTCAATTCCTCAAAATGCGCGCGCACATACAAACAGCGCAAAAAAGAGAGTAAAACATCCAACCAACCAACCAACCAACCAACCAACCAATCAGCCAGCCAGCCAACAAACCAAACCAAACTAAACCAGACCGAACCAAACTCAACAAGCAAGCAAGCAAACAAAGACAATGATATACTGTTACAATCGCAAACTCTGCAAACATAGCGAATATAGGCGAGAGTCCGATTTCTCTGAGTCGGTCCCAGGGGTTTTGACCGGACACATCGACTTGATGCATTGTCAGGAGGGCGCGCAAGCGGGTTTCATTCAGCTCCGCCTCCGCCCCAGTGCATCTCGAGAAGTAATTCTTGAGCCAGTGCACTGCGATGCCTGGAATATCTTCGCCGGGCTGTGCGTAGCATGCGATCATCTCCTGCGCTGATCTCGCCACTTGCCAAAGGGAGTTGATCGCCTCGTCATCTGTTTCGCGCCCGCTCAGGCCCAAGCCTTTCTTGCGAAAGCGGGCAAGCCAGGACTCCAGTAAAGAGTTGACCTAGGCACAAGGCTGCAAACCACAAGAAGCGGCCCGCTGCCAAGGTGCACAATATCCAAACACACAGAAGCAGCAAGCACATGAACATGCTATGCACTCGCGCAGCACCTTTCCCAGCCACATCCACAAACGAACACCTGACATCACCCCACAGCAAAACTAGCCTCTCACTGCCATACCCCTGACAGTTTTGAGGCAAAGAGGTGACTTGGGTATGGGCCAAAATTTAAACCACAGGCGACCGCGGGTTTTGGCCCTTGGTTCCATTTACCAGGGTTTCATTCTGGGTACCTATGTTTGACCCACAGCCATTTTGTGAAATTGCATTTTTTCTTGCTCCAAGGAGCGCCGGCGTCCAGCCGCTCCGGCCGCGCTTCCTTGAGTCGCTGCAGGGCGTTGCTTTGGTGCAGCGTCTGGGCGAAGGCCCGGGCCGCCTGCGCCAGTGGCGTGCTGCTGCTGCGGGACATGACCCGCAGTGCCTCCTGCGGACGAGTCAACCGAAAGGGGCGGAAGGAAATGACGTGCGCGCAATGCTTTGGACACCTTCGCAAAAGGAGAGGCAGACAAACGATATTGGATCATGTTGGACCAAAAGGACACCGTCATGACTCATTTTACGATTTGTCGTTCTGAATTCCATCTGCGTCTTACATTTAGATCCGAGGGGAAGAGTCCCAGTCCATGCTTGCAGGTTTGAAGAGCAATTTTGCCCTTCTACGGCCTTGATAGGGACCATTGCTTCCTCAACCCTTCACGGAATACTCTTGTGACATGCTTCAATTTGGAGGAAGTGCTCTGAATATGATCAACCCTGAAGATCCCTGAAGCACATGAGTCACAATCAAAACCCGGTATTAAAATGGTCTACCCAGAACCATGCTTCAAGAATTAAGAAGGCGGATATCCGCTTTTGGCTGGGACCGCCCCTTACTAACCTTCATCTACCCGGGTTTTGATTGTGGCCCATCTGATTTCCGCCCTCCTGCCCTCCAGTTGCGAAAAAGCGCATACTTGATCGGACCATGTTAAGATGGAGGGAGGCTATGGTAATTTGCTTGTATTCTTTGGCGCTAGGCCCCGAATCAGCAGCACCCGCCGAGGCGAAGTCCGAGCGCTGGAAGGGACGCGGTCCCAAGCCTCAGGCGCGCGGAGCTGCAAGGTCACTCGCAGCTCGCCGCTGGCGTGGCCCTGGGCATCCCGCAGCGTCACCTGAGGTGACTGTGGGTCAAAAATATGTCCCCAAAAAGGAACCCCGGTAAGTGGAGCCAAGGACTAAAATCTGCGGCCTGGTGGTTTGCTTTTGACCCAGGTGTTGTTTTTGTTTACTTGGGGGCAACCGGCTGTATTCTGGGGTTCGGGGGAGTTGGGTTGGTGGGAAGCGTCCCCAGCATCACTGGCCTCGCTCGGACTAGGGCTGCCTATTGGCTTTGATTTGGTGGCAGCTCAGAGTCGGTCAGGGCTGGCTTCGGGCGAGTGTTGCGCTTGCTGAGATCTTATATAGTGAGGGGCTGATTTGCGGCCCGATTTTTGCAGTAACTTTTGGGGAAAGCAGCCCAAAAGCTGCTGCAAAAACGAGCCGCACACCTCGCGCAAATCGGCTCCAAGCCAACCAACTCTGAACTGCCACCAAATCACAGCCAACTGCCACCAAATCAAAGCCAATAGGCAGCCCTAGTCTGAGCGAGGTCGGTGATGCTGGGGATGCGGCCGCGCTGGTGGCCTTTGCATAAACGGCTGGTGGATGCCTTTCAAAGAGGCCATCGCTCTCAACAACCAGCGCGCCCCCTTCGCTTCGCCCCAAAAAACTTCTTTGCAGCGTACATTAATTCCCTTTTCAGTAGCGACACACTGTGATCTTCGTTTAGCTCCCCAAAACCTCCCAAACCTGCCACTGGCATCCACGCACTCTCCCCAAACGGGCGCGTTCGGCTCGCGCGAAAGTGCAGCAAACAGCTCGCGGCTCGCCGCTCGAGGCTCGCCTGTCTGTCGCCCATCTGCTGCAGATCCACCTGCAGCTCCCCGCAGCCGATGAGCGAGTCGCCGCGCAGCGCGCCCTGAAGCTCTCGCTTGTCCCTGGCCTCGAAGCTCACCTGCGCAACGGCATAAAGGGGAAGCGACCTCGATGCTAGCACGCAATTGACGAACGCCTGCAGGCCAAATGGGTGGCCCTGAACAAGCATGCTAGTTGGGGAGAACTAGATATTCTTGCAGCTGGTCCGATGAAGAAGCGCTCAATAATATTATGTTGGGTGTCCAGCAATGTGTGTCACTCATATCTTCCAGTGGCTGTGGGTCAAAAGTCAAAAATATGTCCCCAAAATGGAACCCTGGTAAGTGGAAACATGGACCAAAACCTGCGGCCCTGGTGGTTTAATTTTGACCCGCCCATACCCAAGTATCTTCAAGTCATTGCGGAAAAAACATCTGACGCAAGGCCGCACCTTGAAAGAATCTGTCTTCCAAAAGGCCGCGCTCAAGGGGAAGACCAGCGTGTGGTTCCAGAGGGCAAAGGCACCATTGCCGGCTTCCACATAGGGGGTCTGCTGCTCGGTTGTCCTCTGGTTGGCCCACAGCACCCGGCACGAAATAAAGGGCCGTATCCGCCTCGCGCCAAGCGCAGAGCTGAGGATGTCACCAAATCGATACGCCTCGGCGAAAAAACTGGAAAGCATAAGAAGCGGGAGAACTACTATCATCTTTCCACCAGTGGGGGGGGGCTCTCCAAACGAAGATAGTTTTCTGAAAACTTCCGTGATTGTTAGAGGGAGGGTAACCATGGACAGCCACGCTGATCAAACTCTTGCCGCACTGACTTGCCGCGTGGCCGAATGCTGTAGTCCGGTTCCCTGCTTGACTTCGACAAGCAATGCCCCGTCCATGGCTGGGTGCTGAGCCACACAGCTGACAGCTGATCAAGGGAATGTTATCGGCAGCGCTTCTAATCAGTCTTCAAGTGTGCTGCATAATTCTTGGTTGCTGTTGACCCCTCTGCAAAAAGTCTCACTTTTAATGGGTTTCATGGCAAACCCCTTGATTCCAAAAAAGTTAAAGTCTAAAGATCCAACCCAATGGCAATCAAGAATTTCTCTACCCTGCCACCCCCTGCTCCACTGACCATGGCCACGTCCCGCGTCCCTCGCGGGGCGATTCGGGCGATTTCGCCTCGTCGTCACGCCGCAGGCTCCGCAGCTGCGCTAGAGTCGCCAGGATCAGCTTGGCGGCCCTGCCGCTGTGGCTCCCAGGATTCCAGTGAGCGTGAGATGGTGAGAAAAAGGAAAATCCAACAATGTGGTGGTCAAAAAATCGTCCCTGACGGAATTGGCCAACTTAGGTGGCGTCAAGCCCCAATTAATCAGCCTGGCGGACCTTTTTAAGGGGTGCTTCCCCAACAAAAACGGGACCATCTATTCATCAACCAGGGCTTCTGAATGCTGGTCCCCCACCAAATTCCCCGTGCCGAAGCTCTGAGGCACCCACTCTGAGCTGCCCTCCTGGTGGCTTTGGAGCGCAAATCACGTTTTCGAGGAGGGTTGCATCTGGGCGTGCAACATACCAGACAAAAAGGGCAACCAACACACCAAGCAAGGGCAACACTGCCGCCAGAAACATCTCCTTGATGTTTCGCACTGACCCAAGTTCTCAAGCAACGACAGCAAAAAGCAAGAACACGCGAAAGATACTAATCCAAACACACACACACACAACACCAAAAAGCCGACAATGTCACTGCCACGCTATTCTATCACAAGCGAGGGACTCCACATCGACAAAACTTGCAGCCGTTGGCCAAATTCTAAGCCAGCTCCAGTCACCTCGTTCGCGCCGTCCCAGCGAGGCAGCACTGGTCTTACAGTAGAAGTACCAAGTAGACATGCTTTAAGTAAACCAAGATCCGTTCCTTTCAAAGGACTGAACACACTTCTTCTTGACCCACCCCCCGACTCAAGAGACATCCCTCCCCCCACCCCCCCCATACCCACGTGGCTCCGTTGGTGCCAACAGCTGGGCCTCGAGATCGCAGCGCCTGGCCTGGCAGATTTGTCTCGGGCTTTTTGTGCTCAAGTAGCTCTGTGTCTTCCTCCAATTTTGTGTTGCTTTTTCTTGTACTCGCATCAGTGAGGGAACGTAACCGAGAGAGCTTACAGGTACCTCATTGACTCAGTCGCCTCGGATTTATCTTTCTTGGCTGCGTTGGTCGTTTTCTTGTGCTCGTTGCTCTGCTTTGGCGTCTCAGTGTTCTTTCCAGCTGGCTACTTGCACGTGACGATGGTAGATTCGCATCTTTGCTCCTTCCTTCGCGGTGCTGCATGGTTGACGCGGCACATCCCAAGGCGCGCATCCGTCTTCCAGCGCATCTGCATTCTGCGGGTCTAAAGGCATCAAACACAGAACTGCTGCTGAAGGACTGGGCAAGGCCTCAGTTTCCAGCTGGCTTGTGGTGGAAAGCCATTGCTAGCAGCCAGTCCACTTCCAAGTTTAGTTGCCCTCAAAAATCATGTAGTGAATGGGATTATCATTTTGAAGTCATTGTTCTTGTGGACGCGCGAGATCGTCGCGCTTGCAAGTGGTTGTTGTACATGTAAGTGCTCGGTACAACCATACCTCTTTGGAACTATGCCCTCGTGACCGTGTTTTGACAGCTTCCACCCAGGCAAACACAATACTTCCACCAAGTAACCTCAAGTCAATTGCAGCATTTGCAGCAGCTGGCCGTTCAACACTGCCTGTCCAATACTTTCTGTGCAGCACTGTGAAACAAGAACTCGGGTCATGAAACGGATGCCGAAATGGATGACCACCAGATTCACAAATCCCCCGTAGCCACACCACAAATCAACGTCTTGCACTCGTATCGTGCCTCAAGGCGCTTGTGCTCTCGCTGCTCGGCTTCCAGCCTGGTCTGCAAGGCAGTGTCAACTACGCTGAACCCGGCAAACTTGTCATGCCACGAGGCACCTTTACCTGCTCACACTTATGGGCCTGTATAAGTGTCGTACGCGAACTGCCTTGTGTCTCTCTCTCCCTCTTCCCTCTCTCCCCCTCTCCATCTCCCGCTTGCTCCGAGACGCAGGCTGGTATCGCAAGCCGGCCACTTCAACCTGGCTCAAGCTGCAAATTGGGCCCCTCCCTCAACTGCGGAGCACTCTGAGCTGAAACCTGTCCCTCTGGCCACGACGCGTGGCTGGGAGCCCCAGCCAGATTCTTCCCGCAAATCTCCCGAAGCTTTAACGCCTGACAGACATTGAATCAGCCCTTTGTGTGCTCACAAGGCCGTGAGTTGGCGCTCAGCCCTTTGACTGCTGAAAGGGGCTCGCAAGGGAAACCATCTTCACAGGTGCTGGATGCTGATAGCTCGAAGCGCACGTTGCTGTAACGCAAGTCGTAATTAAGCCCTGGGGAATCTGAGTGAGAGCTCATCAGGGTGGTCGGCCGTGCAAGTTACAAAACAGCTTAAGCCAAATACATTTTGAATCCAACGGAATTACACGACCAGCCCTTTACCATTTGAATTCCATGTGTTTTGATAAGGCACCTCCTGCTGCACCGCCGGCAGGCAGCCGCTGCAAAAGCGGCCCTCTGCCGGCACCGGCGCTGCGCATTTGGCGCACACCTTGCGCAGCGGCCCCGCGCCACCGGGCCGCTCTGCTGCCAAGCTGAGCTAAGGGGCACCACCAAAGACCGAGACCCCAAAGCCGAGTGGGATGACCCGAAACCGATGCTCGTGGCTCAGCGCTCACAAAGAGGAAAGCTCGATAGAAACTCCGGCAACACCAGCCACACCCATGTAAGACGCAACCGCGTCTTGCTGCTTTCGGCCTGCGGTGCTGCGTCAGTGAGCGCGCTGCCTGGCACCAAAACTGCAAGCTGCATGCGGTGATCGTGCGAGGTTCTTTCAACCAGCCGGCGCACCCAATTCTGGGACATTCATGTACAATGATTGCTGGATTGGGCATTGGAGGCTGAGTGTTCCTCCTTGACTCATCAGCATTTCCTTGAAGAATTCACCTCAGCCTGCACTGCAACGGCCTCCTTTGTCCCCTCGCGCATCACATGCTGCGCCTTTCCTTCGGCGGAAAGGCCGGGCGTCAGACGCCGATTGTCGCAGCGTCCAAGAATCCAATCGCGGATTGGACTGACGCAGCTTTACAGCATGCGCTGCCTTCAGAACTGGCGCAAGCGCGAATCCTAAAGCTGCGACTAGCAAACACACATGACACACATTCTATTACAACATTATCATCAGCATATTTCCCTCCCCTTATGTTGAATGCAAGTACCAACAGTATGCTCAATATGCTCACGCCCACACACACAGATATATGCAGGCACATTTTGTGATTCTCGAGTTGTCCTGGCGGCAAGCATGCACCAACACGCGTCTTGTGATCTCAGCTGTGTGGGCAGCGGAATAGGCCAAGTACCATCTAGCAAGGTTTTTGCCTAAAACAGCATCAGACAGTCGAGCATGTTCGCGCAGCGCACGCTCACTGCGCCATGCTGCAAGGGGTTTCAAGCCCCAGCGCTGTTCCGCGAGGACCGGGTGCAGGCTCACTGGTGTCCGCCGAACAAAGGATGTTTGATTTGCTGAAACCAGTAAACAAAACTCCAGCAAAGTCCAAATCCGGGTTGGATAGGGTTGGGCAACCATTGCCTTCGCCTCTTCAAAAATCACAAACGGATGCCTTCATGTTGACCGGGGAATCTTTGCAGTTGCCCCCACCCAGCCACTCTCAGAAAGGCCGCTCCACCGGCGCAGGCTGGCGGTGATACCAAAGCAGCCCGGAAAGCGTCAGAAGGAACGCCACGCCGTAGATCCAGCTGATTTGTTTGTGCTGGACCTTCGAGCGGTGCTTGTCATTACACAATGCAATGGCATGAGAACCCCTTCAAGAGCTGAAGGCCCTTGCAAAGATCTAAGAGGCTCGGTGCATAACGTCCTGGACATATGCATGCTTGCAAGATTGTCTTGCCGTCAGGCCGTATTGAGCAGAGGACGAATTGAAGCACTGGACCAACATGCAAGGCTAGCACGCCAACATACAATCTCGCTGGCGCCCCCCAAAATATTGGCTAGCTTGTCCGCGCTACGCAAATGCATGGGGGCAAGGCATTGAGGCGTCTCAACTATGTTCCTTAATTTAATGTCACCTTCCAGGTTTTCAAGCCCTGGGGGAAGTGAGGTGGCCAACAAAAGGTCTGGACTGGTACTGGCCCGCAATGTGTTTTTCATGTGTGCTGTCTTGCAAAAGCTACTGAGGCGCGCTCAAAAGCACACGCTCAAAGCTCGGTTTGAGCCGTTCAACCATCTATCTGTGAACTGATCCGTTGGCAAAACTGTGCGAACTTCGACAGAAACAAAAAAGGCAAAATTTGACCCCACCAGTTGCTTGGAGCCAATGACCGACCGCACAAGCAAACCAAAGCCCTGTCCGTCCTGCCAAGAGAAAAGGATGCTGTACACATCACAGGTCAACAAGGACATGTTGAAGACCGCCGCATCGGAGATCTGCAGAAAGATGCTGGTCAGGACCTCGGAATTTTCTCAGGTGCGATTTCAGGGCACTGTGTGATCAAACCTCCCAAAAAAGCGCCCTCAGGGGCGTGGTGCTGGTGCTAAATGGGATGAACTTGTTGCAATGTTGGCTTTCGTTCGAGGAAAACACTAATGCGTGCCAGCCAAGGGGCGTAGATCCCAAACAAGCTCAGCTGGAAGCCCAGGAGGTACCCAAGATCTGCCCAGGACCATGAAATGCTTATCAGCTGCCGACTCTCCAGCACGAAGGCTTGGACGCAGGATATCAGGCCTTGCATCCCGAAAGGCTGACTGGCAGAAGTTTGTGGGAGCGGGTTGCTCGAGGGCCCAAGCAAGGGAGCTTTCCCCTTACAGGCACAACTTGGCTTGGCATGCCACATGCAGTGCAGCCGGGATGCTCCCAAAAATGCCCAGCATGCCCAAAGCTTCAGAGCGGCTGCAGTGCCGCTTCAGCAGGAGCTCCTCTTGCCTTGCCATGCTCTGGATATCAACTTATCTTTTGGGCCATGCCATTCGGTCATGGCCATGATTGAACATTTCGGCCTGTCTTTTTTTGGGGGTACCCCCCTTTTTTTGGTTTTAAAGGGAAACCAAAAGGAACTCCACCATTTGGGGGGGGGTCCCCCCAAAAAGACAGACCCATATTTGTTGAGCACACATCAAATACATCAAGTGAGATGCACGTTGGACAGCGAGTACAAAGACGCCCCACACAGCACGAACACATCCCCCACCCAGGCGTTGGATGCCGCGCTCGCCGCCTTC